AGTCAGTCAGTCAGTCAGTCAGTCAGTCAGTCAGTCAGTCTGCTCTGACACAGGGCAGGTCCGCAGACCTGAGGTTGAAGCACCCACAGACACATGCTGGGAGTTGATGATGGGATGTTGAGATCCAGGAGAACTGTTTCCCACAGTCTGTGTGTGTGTGTGTGTGTGTGTGTGTGTGTGTGTGTGTGTGTGTGTTTGCAGTATATTTTTTTCCTCTCCTTTTATTGTTGCTCCTGCTCTTCATGTTTTCTGGATGAAGAGTGTGTTTTCCGACCACCCAGCCTTTTCAAACAGCTGTAGCCAAGTCCGTCTGGTCCTGGAGAACCAACCAGAGAACAGGAGAACCAGAGAACAAGAGAACCAGAGAACGGGAGAACAGGAGAACAGGAGAACAAGAGAACCAGAGAACGGGAGAACAGGAGAACCAGAGAACCGGAGAACCAGAGAACCAGAAAACAGGAGAACAGGAGAACAAGAGAACAAGAGAACAGGAGAACAGGAGAACAGGAGAACCAGAGAACCAGAAAACAGGAGAACAGGAGAACCCGAGAACAGGAGAACCAGAGAACCAGAAAACAGGAGAACAGGAGAACAAGAGAACAAGAGAACCGGAGAACCAGAGAACCAGAAAACAGGAGAACAGGAGAACCCGAGAACAGGAGAACCAGAGAACAAGAGAACCAGAGAACGGGAGAACAGGAGAACAGGAGAACAAGAGAACAAGAGAACAGGAGAACCAGAGCACCAGAGAACAGGAGAACCAGAGAACCGGAGAACCAGAGAACCAGAAAACAGGAGAACAGGAGAACAAGAGAACAAGAGAACAGGAGAACAGGAGAACCCGAGAACAGGAGAACCAGAGCACCAGAGAACAGGAGAACCGGAGAACAGGAGAACCAGAGAACCAGAAAACAGGAGAACAGGAGAACCCGAGAACCAGAGAACAGGAGAACAGGAGAATGGTTCTCCGGGGGGGGGGCACAGTTACCCCACTCTGCTGTTCACTCGATGCCCCCCCCGCCCCTGGCCCCCCACTCTAGGGCAGAATGATGATTTTATATGAAAATATCAGTACACAGAAGTATCGCAGTATTTGGTTTCCTGATACCGTATCAATATTCTCCATCCGTGTATTGATTTTTTTTTTTTTTTAATCAGCAAACCGTGTTCTCATTTCTCCGCAGCGCTCCTGAACGCATCACGGCAGGTGGTTCGCAGCAGGAGGCTGAACCAGATCCTGGAGGTGGTCCTGGCCTTTGGCAACTTCATGAACAAAGGCCAGAGAGGGAACGCATACGGCTTCAAGATCTCCAGTCTCAACAAGATCGCTGACACCAAGTCCAGTATAGACAGGTACCTGCCCCCCACCCCCGTCTGTAAACCCTCTGTGCTTCACTGACCTCTTCACCTGTGGCTCAACAGGAACATCACCATGCTGCACTACCTGATCATGATCTTTGAGAAGAACTACCCCGACACGCTGCACATCCAGGAGGACCTCAGCTGTGTACCAGAGGCCGCCAAAGTCAAGTCAGTACCAGCGGGGTGGGGGGAGGGGTGAGGAGGGGGAG